TTTCCTCCGCCGGCAAGGAAGAAGAGTGAGGAAGAAGAAGTTGCAAAGACTATGATCTGGACAAAATTGGAATTTTGGGTTCTTCTAAAAAAACCCATGTTTGATCCAAACAAGCTATTTGACTACAATCTCTAATTCCAATTATCCGGGTTTTTCAATTAAGGATTTGTACCACAATCCCTCATAAATGAAATCCTTAATCCAAACGACGCAGGCATTTGGTTGGACTTCCCCCATTTTACACTTAGTGGAGCTTTTGTGAAAAATTTACACGAAGGAATTTGAGTTATGCCAACTTTTGTGGCATTAGTTTTCTTCAAGTATTCAACATTTATGACAACATTTATTTAATTTTTCCGTAGATCTATGGCACCATGGAAAAGCTCTTTGCCACTTGCAATGTCGTTCTTTCTTTCAATTGACCTAGCAGTGGGATGTTATACCCCTAGAGGCTTGGCTTAAACATCCTTGTGACTCTAGTCTAACACATCAAATGTGAGCTTTCCATGCTCAACACGTTTGTGACCAGGTTGTCCATTGTACTAGAAGCACTATGATATAAACTCGTTCGTAGTGGATTTTATTCGAAGAGGCAAAATTTAGATGTGCATGTTGGACACACTCCACATATTGGCGTAGAGATAGGATTGCAACACATACATCTCGATATCGTTGGGGGCAACTCCTTCGTGCCTCTAGTATATCTATCTATCGAATCTGCATAGCCAACTTCAATATCGACCATCCGATCCTACTCCACAAATTCTTGTTGAAGAACACCATCATGTTATGTTGTCCATGCCACCGTCAGGGTCAGGTCATCTTTTGACTCTATAAGAGTCGGGTAAACTTAGAGTTGGGTCACTTTTTGACCTAGTGCCCCATAGCAACAATTAGTGATGTGAAATTTCCCATACCAACACAATGGACTTGTTTGTAAAGTTTTAAAAGTTTAGGTAATATAATGCAAGATAAACATATAAAGGTACTAAAATGGTATTTTACCACCAAAATTTATGGACATGTTTGTAAAAAATTATTTTTAGGTTCTAAAATGTAATAAAAAAGTAAATTTGATACCTAAATATAATTTTTTTTAAATTAACATATAAATTTGACAGTGACTCGACCCACCTCAACCCTAGAAGATCAGACACCGGCTAAAATGAAATCAATGGTAGTACACATCAATCAATTATATAAGTTGATCCGCGTATCAGGCCTATGCCACGCCAGGCGCAATGAAAACATATATTGCATTCCGTGAGAATACAGAAATCCGTATACTTGTTGGTCTTTCCTCCAGCAGACCCTATATAATTTTGACCTTTGCTTAACCCCAATTCGCTCACCTCCCGCCGGCATTAAGTGAACGTCGACATGGAAGAGTTCTTCAGGGACATGGGTCCCCAGTTCGAAGTTCCTTCTTCGTTCAAGGATCTTATGTTGCCTATTGTCGAGATGGAACCGCGGGAGATTTCAGCTCGTTTCTTCACGAATTCGAAACTCCCGTACAGAGCTTCTACCACGTTCAACCATACTATCTCGACTACCTTCACCCATGATCAACTCTCCAATGTCGTCAACGATCACTTCAAATCTCGTAAACTTCACTTTTTATGTACATCGATCTCTTCTCGTCCTAGAATTGACTCCTCTGTTACTTTTTGCTAAAAGCAGTCCGCCGCTGTGTATTGTTTTGTGACAGGGAAATCTTCTTCTCGGCCCTTTGTTTTTCTGATCCATGGAAAGCTTTTTCCTATCTCCCTCGGCCTCGACCAATTCCTTCTTGATAATGAGATTTACGTTGTGAGTTTGAAAATCTCTTTCTCTCTGGTCATCAATTGCTGCTTCTTCTTTTTGGTTGCTCAGTGGAAATCGGCTTATATATAACAGGAGGAGAGTTTGGAGATTGAATACACTCTTCCTATGAAAGAGGAGGTGGAGCCTTTAGCGCATGCCGGCTCCGTCAGTGCAGTAGATGGTTCTTGTCCTCGGTAAAAAAAAATCCACCGCTCTTTTGATTTTCAACAGTCTGGACAGTCAGGGCAATCCCTCTGCTACTCAAAAGTTGATTTGGCTGGCTGTTAACGGCTTTGCTTCTTGCTTGGTTGCAGGTTCATCGTTACCGGATGCGAAGACGGCAAGGGAAGGTACAGAGACTCAGTGCAAACCTTTTCTTTTCCCCTCTAATCAGACAAATCTTTGTTTTAGCTGCTAGCTTAGGAGATCGAACTGACTCGTGCAAACTTTTTCTTTCTATATTTCAGGCTGTGGAACGATACTGGTTTATGTACTCATATACTTGAAAGGCACACTGGTTCAATTAGTTCTGTCAGTATCCTTAACCCATTAGGTATAACTCAAGCACCTGCTTTATTTTGCTTCCGGAAACTGGTTTATAAGGACTTGTCTTGTGGGGTGTTATTCTCTTAAGCATGCAGCAATTAGTACAAAACCATTCACTAAGCAACACTAGTTATTAGAGTGTTCCACTCTGTATTCCCAAAAGGAAAATGAGTAGTACAGATATGAGCTTTCTTCCATTTGCTTCTAGTAATGTGATTTGTGTAATTTGCTTATGCAGATAATGATGCAACTCTGGTTACTGCCTCAGAAGATAATACTCTCAGACTGTGGAAGGTAACTGTATTAACATCTTCTCCTATTTTTTTTTTTATTTTTTTTTTATTTTTTTTTTTTTTTTTGCTTTCAATGATCCAAGTCCTGTTTGATGAATTATTGGTTCGTTTTTCCCTCCCAAAAGTTGGATACAAAAGAACTTGAGAAATTTCCTCGTAAGATTAAGCCATTCAAGACTTTGAGTGATCATTCTACTAAAGGTGTATGGCGTGTGGCTGCAAATCCATCAGGGAGCAGGGTTCGTTTTTCTCTCTTTACCCTTAATATAATGTTAACCTACTGATGTGACTTTGCCAATTAACCAATTCCATTTGATTTTATAAACAGTTCTGCTCTGGTTCTTTCAATACAACAGTCAAGGTGTGGCAGACTTATGAAGCTGCCTCGGAAGACTACTCAGGGTTTGTTAAGAAGAGGAAAACTGAATGTGAAGCTAAAGAATCTCAGTTGGAGGTGTAGAGTGTGTTTGTTTTAGCTTTTGCTAAATGCCAAGTGGATTCTTCATATCTGACAATATATATACCGCATGCAGGATAATTTGGTCTGTTCACTAGAGGGTCATGTGTCAGTTGTATCATCAGTGGCTTGGCCAGTAGACAATACGATTTATTCTGCATCTTGGGATGGTACTGTTAGAGAATGGGATGTTGAGAAATGCAGTCATGTGTCGTCCAAAGTAAGTATGTGGCAATTTATCATCTTGTATCTCCTCCTTTTCCTTTCCCCGTTTGAAATCTGATCACACTGAGAATGTTCTTCCTTGCAGTTCTATGAAAAATCCTTCACCTGCCTTAGTGTAGGCGGATCGGGATCGAACATCCTGGCTGCAGGTGCATTTGATGGCAAACTTAAGATATATGATGCAAAACTGCCAGGTATGCTTCTAGTGATACAACAACAGCAAACACATGTGTGCGTGGTTGTCTTGTCTCGGTTTTTCTGCTAAAATAATCGACTTTCCGTTCAGGTTTTAGCTTATTGCTTTGCTTTTGACATGCTCAGTTTTTTTCATTCGTGCAGCAAAGTCTCGCGCTGTGCACGATATTTTTTCGCATGATAATAGGATATCAGCATGCCAGTGGCACTGTAAAGATACAGTCTACTTACTGTCTGCATCCCTTGATGGCAGAGTCATGGTGTGGGATCTCAGAATTGCGGTATCATATTTCTCTTCTCAAGCAACTTCATTTTGACATTCTTTCATTGCATACAAGTGGAACAAGCTAATTGGATCTGAGTATAAATTACACTTTTGCTGTGCAGGGGCATACTGTTATTGAGTCGAGTGAACACAGCGTGCTATGTGCTGATTGGTGGCAAGGGGACCGTGTAATCAGTGATGGTGCTGACGCGAAGCTACGGATTTCTGCTAGAGTTCCCCTGCCTTCCCTTGGGGTTTAGGAGAAAAGTCTACAATCTTTCTCAAGTCTAGGGAGTAGCTAAGTTCACTCTAACACATGAATGGGAAAACCTTTGTGATAGATCTCTTAGACTGTTGGGTTTTTTGCTAAATCATTGATTTCTGTTTTTTTTTTAAAGGAAACTCAATTACAAGTGACTAAAAGTTGGAAGAAAACAAAATGAAAAATGTGTTGGGGAAAATTCCAACCACAACCTCAAGTGAACTGCAAGTTCTCGTTGGGTCCATCTCCCATTCTATCTTGCCGCAAATATAATTCCACACTTGGTGGGGCAGTATCCCAGCATTGCTCAAGAGTGTCTTAATTGGTGTCCTAGTTTAGTTAGGCAATCGGCAACTGAATTAACTACTCCTGACACATAAGAAATCTATGCCGTCTCCAATTGTTGCAGAGATCAAGGGCAAAGTGTACGTCCTTTACGGAGATCACTGCTGCCAAAGAATTCACGGATCCCCGAAAGACTCTGAAAATTGCTTCCAGGTGTTGGCACTGGATGATGATGGCAAGCCCCATTGGAAACCACTTCCTGCACCTCCCTTTTACGAGTACGCAACCCGCTCTCACTACTTCAAGAATATGGTGGCCGTCGTCGGCTACAAGCTGAACGTCAAAGTGGGCAGCGAGGTGTATGCCTTTGACGTTGACACTCTAAAGTGGGAACTGGGCCGGTATCGGTTCCCTTCAGGTACCAAAACATTGTCTTCGAGGTTAATGAAGGAAGGGAAAGACTGTTGTTTTGTGGTCCTTTATGCAATGGTATATGGGGACAGGGGACGATCCAAATCAGGATGGTCTCTATGCTGCATTGGTCGACTGCAAGAACGGTGATTTGTTGCTGCATTGGCGTTCATTGTCACTAGATAGGTAGTAATGAGAATAATAATGTGTTTCACCACGAAATCCGGCTAGGGTGCTATAACTGCAGCATCTCTATTTTTGGTTATTGAATTGAAGTTCGAAACAGAATTAAGACTTGTTGTGAGCTTTTGCAGTCACGTAGTAATACTGTAGAGTCTTCAATCTTCATCCCATGTTGGGACGATACATACACGTATAAACCACACTGTCCCATTCAATTTCTATCAAACATCGACAGACCAAGAAAAAACATTGCCTGCAGATGTGAACTTCAATATATATACTGCAATAAGAAACCAGGAAACAATAAACAAAAGGAACAAGGTTTTTCATGCTTATGAAGAAGAGGCAGTCTTGCCGTTCTTTTCAGACAATCGCAGGAGCTCTTTCGCCATGGAAGAGAATGACTTGGCAGTATCTTGCATGGCTGCGGCTTTCATGTTTATGCCCTGCAACTTGTTTACGTTGTCTTGGAGTTTGCTTTCTGCCATTCTAGCAGCACCCATAGTTTCCTATGGCATCCAAAGCCACAAAAACTGTCAAAACTTGCAACAATTCACCATCATGCTGATATGAGACTAATTGAAGAGGGAGACAACTTACATTGGTCGTAGTGGTGGAAGAAGAGAAACCATATTTCTTCTTAATTTGATCAACTCCTCCTCCTGCCCCGTTGTCACCTTGTTGTTCGACTAATTCCTTGCTGTTGACGCTACTGTTATGTGTCTTTTTGTTTATCTCTTTCACAACTTTGCCTTTAAAAGCCTGCAATCTGCTTGCCATTACAAGCTTCTGCTTGTTGAGAGCTGCCATTATGTTCTGGTCCTTAGCTGGTTTCTCCACTGGATCGTCATCAATCTCAATGTCATCTTCATCCAATAACGAATCGTGAGAACGAAGTAAAGAATGAAAACAGAGCTCCCTACAGCATCAAGGAAGATTTACCAATATCTAAGTCGTCTGAATCACCAGTAGGCATAATGTCTCGCATCTCTTGATGATCATCATCACATGCAAAGTTTGCTGACGAGAATATCACAGCTAATTCCTCAATACTCTCTTTAGCGTCTTCTGTTTCCATCTGATCAGGAACCTGTTTCGATTTACTTTTACTCAATGAGCTGAAGATGCCCTGTATTTTTGCAATTTCCCCACAGGCCATTCTTCAGTAAAAGTATGGGCGTAAACTTGATCATTTAATCAAGCAGTTAGAGTGGATCTTACCTTTTTCTTCTCCTTCTGCAGAGTTGCAGCAGGGCCTTCTAGCGATGACATGGGATCATAGGTGTAAACTTGGCTGAAAGTGTCTACAAGTCTGAAAAGATGCATGCAGCCATTTGAGTATATCACCAAACGTGCAGAGACATAAATAGATACTAACATACCTGAAGTTGTCTTTCTGGAGACTAATTGACACGACGAAAATTTCCTGATCGCCGTTCACCTGTAACAAATACACCACAAATCAAAATCCAGGTTGAAAATTGCTTCTTAAATTCAATGCTACAAGTGGGTTGTTCATGTTTTTACCAGGAAAATTTCTCCGTCCAGTGAACAGGAGATTGAGTAGTTGGTTCTCTGTTCAAAATGGGAGAAATCTCTGATTGAGGACTCCCTCAACAATGATAGCTCTGGCAATGACCTACAAACCAATTATGATTAAGATCCACAAAAAATGAGAAGAGGGAGAAGGCAGATAAGAGAAGAGAGAATGTTACACCAGCATCACCTTATTTCTAGTTTTCCAGAAGATAAAAGCAGTACAAGGCCAACATCAGAACCAAGCCAAAACGTTGAAGCCCACAAACAAGATGAAGAATTGAACTTTTTCTTGTAAATAACCTTTTTCACTCCCTGGCCAGTATAAAACAAGCAAATCAGGTCGTCAAGTGAACCAGAAAAAGAAAAGCATCAAAGCAAAATGTTAAATGGTAATTACCTGAGCAATATGATTTAGGGAGTACACATACACAGCTTTCTCAGAACACATGAGCACAGAAGGTTGCTTCGATGCACCATCTTTGGCACCAGTTTCGTCATCTTGAACACTCTGTCCATCTAAACACAACAGTACATAGGAAGGATCAGCTCAACTGTTGTGTGTACAAATCTAGTAGATGGAAATGTACTTACCCAAGATCTCCATGTACAGAGCTCTAGATGGTTTGTTTGGATGCACAGTTTCAGTGCTCAACATGTTTCCAGAATCACAATCGAGAGCCAAAACCGAGGAGTCCCTCGTTGCAACCACTAGCGTCTTCTTCTCAAACCCATGTAAATTGCACGTTTCAAATTTCAGAGAAATGATGCCAGCTGAGAGCTCACTAGCAATGTGTTGTTGATAAAGCATGTTTGGCACTTGCCCTTCTATGTCAATAACTGACACCTGAAAAAACCCAAAACCCCCATCATCATCATCGCCGTCGTTGTCATCTGATAATTTCTCACGGACTCCGGAAAGCAAGCAACTTATATGACAAGGCTGCTTACGTTTCCTTGGTCAGACCCAACTGCCACACGTCCCGAGCTATGGCTTACAGTTATGGAGAGTATGGCCCCAGTAACCTTAATAAGTTTGAGACTCTGGATGACATGACTATTTCCCTTCCGCGAGCTTCCTGCGAAGAGAGTTTTAAGTATTGGTTCAGCCACAAATAATAATCACTTGACATTTATCAATCAATGTATTTGTACCTTGAAAGGACATGAAACCGTTCTCTGATGCATAAGGCTCCGGTTTTAACTTGAAAACTCGAACCTGCATACACACGGTCAGTTTATGGAAACAAACATTACATATCAAGTAAACATAATTGTGTACTTTTTATGTGGGCTCATGTTATTATGAATCCGTACACTTACAATTCCACTCTGATCCCCAGATATAAGAAGGCGAGAATCTCCATCAAAGTAAAGTGCTGTCACAGGTATTCCACTAGAAGATAAGTCATCTTCACTCTGTTGCGTGAGAGACAAGACCGGGATAGGAAGTGGACAAGAAACATCCCAGAAGTTGATGGCACCGTCCTTGTGTCCAGTGATATACACGTTCTTTATCTTGGAAAACCCAGTAAACTTATGGACTGAGTTCATGTTACTTCCCTCCTTTAGCTTTCCCTCAAAAGGAAGTACTGATGGAACATTTCTAGCCAGTACAGCATAATCCTGTAAACCACAGCACCACTGCTTTAACTTTAATCACATCCAAAAGACAGCAATACTCTCAATAGTGTTCGTTGGATTACCTCATCAGCCGAATTCAGCAAAGATGGGTTGTTTGTGACAAATTTTGCTGCAGAAATGCTGGAATCGATGTATGGCAACTTGGCCATGACTTCCTTCGGTGAAGAGGGTACTGAAATTTTGGCTTGGGACTGAATCAGATACTTTTCAATCATACCATCATCATATGCATAAACATGGCCTGATTTCCCAAGCAGGACAAGAGAGACCAGCTTGCTACTGGAAATGATATCCATGTCAATGCAAGGCTCAGGCAAATGAAGGCCCAACTTGATCGTGCGCGTCTCTGAATGCTCATTGAGTAACACAACCTGCACTGAGCTTGTTGGTGCAACCTCAGAAGAAGAACCACCCATGACATATAAGCGGCTCGCTTTATTATTGCCATCTAACTGAGGGAACCATTTGAGGGATGCTATAGCAACTTTGTCCAGTTTGTAGCCAAGATTGAGCTTAGAGGAAGGAGTAGGTGTTTCTGTTACAGATGCTTGAACGCTCCAAGTGAATATCTCTCCGTTACTGTATCCAACAATGACTTTACTTCCATAAGGGCATCCCCAACATGCACAAGTTGCTTTCCTTACTGCTTCATGGTGATTCTGTGATGGCAGCAAAGACGTACTTGTGCCTGTAGTGAAGATAGACCGGCTTTCTTGAATGTCCCACAGAATGATAACGCCATCTTGGTACACAACAAGAAGCCTGAAATATTTGGTTAAAGAGAGTTTAGTTGCAGTCTCCATTAATCAGGGGAAATGGGAAATCAGAAGGCAACAAACAAACAAAAATAAACCTCTTGGTTTCTGCTGATGGTACAGGCAATATGGTTACTACAGAAGCCGCTTGAGTTGGATTACCAGCAGAGAGAGGTATTGAATATTGCATGCGTGTTAAATGCCACAAGTCGGGTTCGAGCTTCAAAACAGTTACGTTACCAGCAGAATCCCCAACGTAGCTGCAGTAACGCATAGGAAAGCGAAGGTTCAACACCATATACATAGGAAGAAACAAAGCCAGTCCTTTTCATCATGTAATGTAGGAGAAGCGGTTTTACATGAAGGGAGTGTGTCGGAGAGGAGTAAAAGAGGTAATGTCTCCTGGGAAGACATGGATATGGGACAATAGCCTTTTCTCCACGTCCCAAACCTCAATGTGGTTGCTGGACGTCACATTGAGAAGGACCAGGGTGCTCCCAGTTTGAACGAACTGATGAAAGTGAAAAAGAGATATCAGCGGCGTAAGCTATTGTTCATATGAACATCATGAGCAGATTAATGGGGAACAATAATGAAAGAAATGTTAAACCTTGAGAAACTTGGTGGGGAGAGCATCCGGTGAGTGGAGCAGGGCTTGAGTGTTATCTTTGCCATATAGTTTAATCCTTCCATCTCTGAAAAAAACAAGGAACCAAAGTTAAACCATACAAAAGTGAATCATTTGGATTTAAGGGTTACCTTGGAGAACAAGAAAGGTGGTACAACAAGGGAGAGCAGCAACCTGGTGGAAACAGCAAGACAAGAAGAGGAGGGATGAGAATGGGAAGCTAAGATGTTAGCTCCCGAAGGGATGCCATAATGGAAACTCAGGCGTGGCTCTATGTCATTGGCCTTCAATCCTTTCCCGTTCACCCCTGAAGGCTGCAAATTTAGTTACATGTAAAACATTTATTCATTAGTATTCTTTTACCTAGTTACATAGCTCAATGAAGAATGAGATATTATAGCAGAAAACAAATGGTAAAAGAGTGAGCTCTCTTCGACTATATCATATGTTTATATGATTCAGTAATTTCTATCTTATGATTAAGAAGTTTATTTATTTAAATCAAATGAAAATGATCATGAAGTAAAACTGTAAAAGATGACAAGCCACCACCATTGCACTTCGACTATTCGAGTTCTATCCTTGTTGTTGGTTTGTTGAAGTAGTGGGCTGGGCCGGTTATTTTGGGTCTGACACTAATGAAAATGGGAATGGGCCCGAACACACAACACAAGCGTCACCGCAGTTAGGCTCCGAGGGCGGTGTTCCCTCTTGGAAAAGAAATACCAAAAAAGAAAAAGAAAAGAAGGTGAAATAAATACGACCACCGCCCACCACGTGGAAATGTGGTGGACTGATCCGTTACACGACGACCTAACCTGATCACAACAACTAACAACCCCAGTAATAATAACAAAATAAATATTGAGGACTAACCAGTGACCAGTTGTACTAACTACACAATCATCCTTTTTCTGCTTGGGAGTGACCATTCAATTTATTTTTATTATTTAAAAAAATGAACTGAAAAAACAGGGTGAAAGTCATCCAACGGCCAGAAAAACACCAACACCAACACGCCACCGTGAATCCGTCGGTTCACGTGTATAAAAACTAAAAGGGGAAAAACCGATCAACAACTGCCTTTTCTTCCATTTTCCGGTTGACCGAAAGAAGAAGAAGAAATGGACATGGCTGATTAGGACTGGTGGGCCCCGAATCCGGACACATGTTTCAGCAACAGTGGCCGGTCTCTATCTATGAAAAAATCCTTTATCCGATTTTGATCTTTTGTTTCTTTGCTTCCCCATTCAAAGGACACTACAATACTGAATATCAGGCAGGTGGCACCATTTGAATGATGATGCCTCCCTGCCTGCCCATAAAAGCAAGATGGTGACCAACGAATGCAAAGTGCAAACTGTTTGGCCATTTCTCATCAATTCGCGCCATCTGCAGTGCTGGTGATGAATGCAATGGAATGGAAGGCAAGTAAAGGCAGGGTAGGGTGGCCCTACAGTAGAGATCAAAGATAGGAAGGATCCGAGGAGGAACAATGAAGAAAGAAAGCAAAGGATGGCCCAAAGTTAAGGTCCAAAGAAAGAAGAGATTGCCAAGAGGCTTTTCCTTTACCTAAATTAATGCTTTTGTGTTAGGGATGGATAATGGATTGTGGGCAAGACACGCTACAATCCTAAACAGTAATAAGAATAGACTAACCGACAAGGATCTGATTGCTAATGCAAACCAAGTAACTAACCATTCAAATCCAGCACTAGTTGAAGAAGCAATTCTAAAGATTCGACTCCGATTGACCCTAACCACGCAAATTGGATAGTATGGATGGATGGATGGATTTCAGTTGATCTCTGCCTACTTAACAGAACAATTCAATTGCTACTGGACTTAACAAGATAGATAGACCAGATCCTCCCTGCAGGTGCCGGTGGAGATGAGATGTTGTTGCATTCATCATGATCACAGACATTTGCTCATTTGGACGGCAAACAGTTAAACCTAGTTTCCACAGTGGTGAAACGTGGAACCCGAATTCTTGGATCCAGACACACAAATTCATCATCATGAACTTTCGAAATTGATTGCACGGAGAGAAGGTGGGGGAGAGGGAGAAAAGCAGATCACGACAGTTTCACTTTGACCAGGGGAGACAGAAACAGAGAGCGGAACACGAAGACGATTCAGCCGGGGGGAAATCAGTAGCAGAAACCATGGAAGTGAAAGCGGAATGAATTGATTGATTCAGAGGATGAAATAAGGGAGGGAGGGGTGGGTAAATTACCTTCTTCGACACATTCGAAGCCGCCTTCTCCACCAGCTTCTTTACGAACATCACTCCACTGACGGCCGATCAATCACTCTACCTTCTTCTTCTTCTACCAACGCAAGGCCGATCAAATCTCAGACTAATTATCAATCAATCAATCCCCGCAGTTTCCTCTTGCTTGCCTCGATACCGTTCTGCTACCCGTTTTCCGATTAGCAGCAGCAGCAGCAACTTTGGGATAACAGCCGAAAAGGAGAGCCCCGCGACAAGAAAGAGAAGAAAGCGAAAGGCTGGCTGGCAACCGTAAAGCCGGAGAAGAGAAATGGAACTGTTTGTTTTGTGCTACACAAATCTTGTGTGTGTAATAGAGATTAGAGAGAGAATAATGACTAATGAGTAATGAGAGAGAGATCCAGTTGGATTTTTGCAGGTAATTCCCAGACCTTTTCTTTTTTTATCTGTTTTGGAGCGCAGCGGGACAAACAAACGAGCGGTTTTATATTTCTCGTTTTTTTGGTATGCTAATTAATATATTGTTATAAATAAATTTTTAATTGCCAAAATTAAATCACAGGATCATCCGTTACAGTTGCACGCGTTTGAGTTGAGCCCATTAACGTCTCAATCTGAACCAAAATCCCATTTTGGACTGGTCCATTACAAGTTACCACTCCTGGGCTTGTTAGCCCTCACAGAACACAGTTGGACTTGGTTGACTGACACCCGACACTAAGAGATGGCATTGAACCCGAACCAACAGATACCCAACCCAATCAAAGCAGATAAAATTCAGTTGAGCAATTTTGCCCAGTTTTAAAATTGGAGGGTTTGGTTAGTCAAAATCCAACTATTCTCAACTCGACCCACGCACATAAAATAAAATGATGTCATTTTGTATCTGAACAATATGAATTGTATAGGAATGTTATTGTCATTTCGATTCTTGAGCATTAGTGATCCAAAAATCCCATAAGTATTGTCTAATTCATCCATACATCGTAGTTCATTGATTTAGAGCTTTAAAATGAGTTTTTGGATCAGCAATTTCTTTTCTGATCGAAGGAATTAGGGTTTGAACTTTCTAGTTCAAATTTCATGTACGAGCTTCATATACGGAAGCCCGATTAACCCCCAAATTTTATATACGAGCTTCCTGCAGCTAGGTAATGAAATTTCTAGTTCTAACCTATGAATTTCGGCAATTATTTAGGTCGGAGCCGGAATCGCTGAATTTAGCTCTGGTAAGTTTTGATGTGTTTTTATCAAGAATTTGACCCGAAGCCTAGAACTAATATTGTTGGGGACACTGCAGGGGATACTAGGACGATCTCAGATTTTGATTCTGGGTTCGTTCGTGAAATTGACCTTTTAGTACAGGAGGCTAAAATCGGTGTTTGAACGACCAGAACTGGTGAGGGATTAGCACGGCATACCGGGTTTTTCGTATCATAATAATTATATTGATGCTTAGAATTGACCTTGGTGAACTAGAATGGCATGATTAGAGGTGTATGGACTATTGTATTATATGATAAACCCTTGAGTGTTATATGATATTATTGTCTTGCCCTAATTCTTATGGACCTTGTTTATGTTGATGATTGCATATATATTTCCATTGTGGACTTAACTGTTAATATGCCTTATTATGGTTCTAGAAGGTGATTTAGTATGATTTTTCATGATTGTTGTATTTGGATTCACAAGTCGGAAAATATACTTCCCAAGGTGATCTCATGATGTTTGAGGAGGATGACTTGCACGAGGGTTTATCCCGAGGAAGTGCAATTATACGACTCTTGATTTACCTATGTTGAGCCAATAGTGGCCAGGTCAAGTAATGAGCTAAGATTAAGCAAGATGAGTTATGGATCATGTATAAGGTTACCAAACAAGTGTTTGGATCTCATGGTCAAATACATGATAATTAGGGCTCCCCATGCTATTACTCTATTATGACATGAAAGTCACACCTCTCTTGTGGTGTTGACTAAAGATTATGATATGCATGATAGTCACACCTCTCCTGTGGTGATGACTGAAGATTACTTATGAGATATGACCACACCCATAGTGGTGTAGGGTATGTATGACCACTTCTGACGGGATGTTGGGGTATGTATGACTACATCCGACGGCATGTGGGGTATGTTTCCTGGGAGAGTTATTAGCATGGGAGTAGCCAGGTGCCTATAAATAAAACATGATAAGATGCATATGCATATGTTAGGTGGTTGAGTCTCTTTGCCCATTGGGATATGAGGATGGTTGAGGTCTGATTCTAGTGTTTTGGATTGATTGCTAGATGTATGGTAGGGATATACTTTGTTATGAACTCACGAGTCACGATGCAATTATTGTCTCACTCAACTATGAGCAGGCCCTCTTTTATTCTTTTTCATCTGCTTATGCAGTATGTAAGCAGATCATCATCTGCAGCAGTAGTAAATAGGCAGGGGCGGAGGTAGCATGTAAATAGGGTGTTCCATGGCACACCCTTGGATTGGGACTAGAATATCAAAAAATAGGGGTATTACTTATTAGTTTATGCTATAACTAGGATTTGAACATGGAACCCCCTTATTATTAGCTTTGACATCTTACATTAAACTACAATTACTTATGTGATACACCAATACGTTTTATTGTATATATAATTAATTTACGTTTACAAATAATAAGTAAATTAAAAAAACTCATAATTGTATCCTTATTCAAGCAGTAATCGGAACGTTAGCCCTAACAAGCAAGACTTCTCCCAGTCCCACCTTTCATCTTCCTTCGTTCTTCTTTCCCTTTTGGCAATGAACTAGGTGAAAAACACTCTTCGGAGTGGAATGAGTGACGATATCATGAATGATTTTTTGGTAGGATACAGTGAGAGTGACATTCTTGATAGTCTGGATGATAAATGTATTTTATAGAGTTTTTCAAACTATGAGAATTCGTCATGGGTCACTCTTAAAAATTGATATTCACTTTAATTTTTTTTAAGTTGGCACCCCCTTACCCAAAATCCTGGCTACGCCACTGTAGATAGGTGTATAGGTGGGAGCTGAGCAAGAGTTGAAGGCAAGATGAGGTATGGTCTTCAACTATTCTGTGCTTGGACGACTACTCGGGATTTTGGCCAGTGATCCACACCTTTTTGTGAAAATGTTTTAAGAACGTTTTTCATATGCATACTAGATTCTGATGTAGTGTGAGATATTCACAGATTTGAAAAGTTGATGATATGTGTGTTGTGTGTGTGGTTGAGTAAGTTGTTACAATTGTAGCATGTATAAGTAGGTATGTAATTGCAGAGTATAAAACTATGACTATGGCTATGAAAAGCAAATGTATATGGTTATGAGTATATATGTATATCTATGAATGCAAGGATTCAGATAAATTATTTTGAAGGATTAGTTGCAAGAACTGTTAGCCCATTACGTGAGTAATTCATGTTGAAATTTAATTTAGGCAAAATTTATGAATTAATGTAACACCCGAGATTATTTCCGCTGCGAATATATGGACAATTTGATTAGATAATACGTATAGGATAGGGTGTAACAGTTTGGTAAACCTAAAAATATGGATACTCTAGATGGTAGTAGTCTTCATGGAAATATATTTATAGAGTAAATATCGAGAATGAGAGTGCTCAAAGAACTAATATATTGTTATGTTTATGTATCCATGCACTTGTGGATATCCGTTAGATTGAATTTTCACTTCTAAAATCTATTATGTATATTACCATTTTTTAAATGGTGCATTCACTGAATTGAATTTGAATTTAAAGAAACCAGAACCAATCCAATTCATATGCATCCGTTTTAACTTCCACTCGGTGACTTCCTATCTAACCCCCTCCCATTAGATAGGTTGTAAGTTGTAACCAGGCATCCTAAGGAAACTATTTAGTACTAAGGAAAAAACAAACAAAAAGAGGACCAAGATAGAAAGACAATTTGTTATGAAATAACAAGGAAGAGGAACATACACAAGAGTAAGAGTAGAGACATAAGAAGAGAGTGGGAATAGAGCTTTCTTATTCATGTGTTCCTTAGTACAAGGAGATCATCTATTTATAGGCACACATCACATAACCTCTACATTCTTACAATCAATATACATGAATGTGAGAATGAATGTGAAATAGAAATGGGGTGGGGGGTTACATGTAACACCCAATTGTGCAACTAATGTGTCATATGGAGAAATAAATATAAGGAGATTGTAACATACCATGGAGCATCTAATGTTGGTCATCCATAATAATAATAATATTTTCATAACACTCCCCCTTGGATGACCATTAGACATGAATATGCCTCGTTAAAACCTTACTAGGAAAAACCCTGTGGGATAAAATCCTAGTGAAGGAAAAAGAGTACATAATCATCATAATACGCTATCTGAATCTGCCTCGTTAAAAACCTTACCAGGAAAACCCAGTGGGAAAAACCACGGTTAAGGAAAAAAGAGTGCAGTGCGTATATGCTCCCCCTCATGACAACATCAAAGTATAGTGTTGTAAATAAATCTTTCAAATCTTCTCATGGTAAGCTTCTTAGTGAACAAATCTTCTAGATTGTCACTTTATGCATGATCCCTTAGGACCATTTTCTTCATACATGATCTTCAAAATCATTTTTTATGAAGAGAATCCACAACTACAAGTCATTTAGACGTGTTGAATCACAAATCTTAACCAAACAATTCATAACAAATCTCATGAATTGTTGACCATTGTGCATGATCAGTTGCTATTGTGATTTCTTTGAAATCTCCATAAGATACTTGTACGACCATAGGTAAACAACTCATCTATGATCCTCATCGTTACCTATAGTAACGAAGTATAGCGAGATACATTTTCGCTCTAACGACATTAACATACGGTACTTCAGGACCTAATAATTCACTTTTATCTCAATGCCTAAATTGATCTTTGTTCACTTCTAGTGACCATGTGATCATTAAGCTGTTGAACATATGCAATTTTTTCCATACAAAATTTTCCTTTCACCTTTCTGACACTGTCGTACTGATCCAAAAAGGATCTTAAATCCTTCATGTTCAATTTTCTTTCTTTAAGCAATCCATGCTGCATGAAACTCTTCTGGAGTTCAATTTTCTTTCATTAAGCAAAACATGCTTTATGAAGATCTTCTGGAGTTCATATCAACTAAAAGATATGAGATCATTATAAAATAATTTCTCGGCTTTTTTCTTCCAAATAACTATAAAACTTAGCTAACACAATTGTATGCAAACAATTACTTCATACCACACGGTCACAAGCAAAAGGCACGTCATACACACAATATCACTTAAC